CTAACTGAAGGTTGAGGAGTGCACAGGATTCCATCCAACTGACGGTTGAGGAGTGTACAGGATTCCATCTAACTAACGGTGGAGGAGCGTACAAGATTCCATCCAACTGACGGTGGATGAGGATACAGGATTCTATGCAACTAATGTTGGACGAGTGTACAGGATTTCATCCAACAGACGGTGGAGGAGCATACAGGATTCCATCCAACTGACGGTGGAGGAGCGTACAGGAATCCACCCAACTGACAGTTGATGAGCGTGCAGGATTCCAACTGACGGTGGAGGAGCGTAGAGGATTCCATCCAACTGAAGGTGGATGAGTGTACAGGATTCCATCCAACTGACCGAGGTGGAGTGTACAGGATTCCATCCAACTGACGGTGGATGAGCGTACAGGATTCCATCTAAATTACCATGGATGAGTTTACAGGATACCATCCAACTGACCGAGGAGGAGCATGCAGGTTTCCATCCAAATTACCATGGATGAGCGTACAGGATTCCATCCAAGTGACGGTGGAGGAGTGTACAGGATTCCATCCAACTTCAGGTGGACAGGCGTACAGGATTCCATCCAACAGACGGTGGAGGAGTGTACAGGATTCGATCCAACTGACGGTGGAGGAGTGTACAGGATTCCATCCAACTGACGGTGGAGGAGGAGCGAACAAGATTCCACCCAACAGACGGAGGAGGAGCGTACAGGATTCCATCCAACTGACGGTTGACGAGCTTACAGGATTCCACCTAACTGAAGGTTGAGGAGTGCACAGGATTCCATCCAACTGACGGTTGAGGAGTGTACAGGATTCCATCTAACTAACGGTGGAGGAGCGTACAAGATTCCATCCAACTGACGGTGGATGAGGATACAGGATTCTATGCAACTAATGTTGGACGAGTGTACAGGATTCCATCCAACAGACGGTGGAGGAGCATACAGGATTCCATCCAACTGACGGTGGAGGAGCGTACAGGAATCCACCCAACTGACAGTTGATGAGCGTGCAGGATTCCAACTGACGGTGGAGGAGCGTAGAGGATTCCATCCAACTGAAGGTGGATGAGTGTACAGGAGTCCATCCAACTGACCGAGGTGGAGTGTACAGGATTCCATCCAACTGACGGTGGATGAGCGTACAGGATTCCATCTAAATTACCATGGAGGAGTGTACAGGATACCATCCAACTGACCGAGGAGGAGCATGCAGGTTTCCATCCAAATTACCATGGATGAGCGTACAGGATTCCATCCAACTGACGGTAGATGAGCGTACAGGATTCCATCTAACTGACGGTGGTGCAGCATACAGGATTCCATCAAACTGACGGTGGAGGAGTATACAGGATTCCATCTAACTTACGGTGGAGGAGCGTTCAAGATTCCATCCAACTGACGGTGGAGGAGCGTAGAGGATTCCATCCAACTGAAGGTGGATGAGTGTACAGGATTCCATCCAACTGACCGAGGTGGAGTGTACAGGTTTCCATCCAACTGACGGTGGATGAGCGTACAGGATTCCATCTAAATTACCATGGAGGAGTGTACAGGATACCATCCAACTGACCGAGGAGGAGCATACAGGTTTCCATCCAAATTACCATGGATGAGCGTACAGGATTCCATCGAACTGACGGTAGATGAGCGTACAGGATTCCATCCAAATTACCATGGAGGAGTGTACAGGATTTCATCCGACTGACTTGTGATTGAAGAAGTCGAGCAAGCAAGACACAACATGAGTACAAGTCTGAGCGAAACCCATCTTTCAAACAAATTTGTTATATGGCCAAACCAATTGCATTGTTCCAATAGAGATTAGAAGTCACCATCAGTGTGTGTCCCATGAAGAGAGCTTCTGCTTGCCCAGTTAAGTGTCTAGTCTGTATGTATCTTTTAGCAGGTTGCAAACACAAATATTTCCACAAATGTTTTGCTATTGTCTGAATGGAGGAATCATGTATTCAAGGCCGTTACTGCATTGTATAATACACGGATGCTAACATCACGCTTGTTGTAATGTTGTCGTCGGTTACAAATTCTGAGATCACCTTGTCTTAGAACTGTTAATATGAAAAGAAAAATACTGCTCAGATACATACCCGTGATATCCGGAATGATACATGAGTTTCTATAGAATGAAAAAATCTAAAAACATTTCCCTACGTCAGAAAATATTCATATTTCAAGCCCTTGTAAATTTCAGCACATGTTACAATTAAAGGAATGTATTGGTATACTTTATAGGGGGCATCTATTGGTATGCTATATGGTCAGATGGTATGTGTTGCTATACTATATGGTCAGGTGGCATGTATTGGTATACTTTATGGTCAGGTGGTATGTATTGGTATACTACATGGTCAGGTGACATGTATTGGTATACTATATGGTCAGGTGGTATGTTTTGGTATGCTATGGTCAAGTGACATGTATTGGTATACTTTATGGTCAGGTGGCATGTATTGGTATACTTTATGGTCAGGTGGTATGTATTGGTATACTATATGGTCATGTGGTATGTGTTGGTATGCTATGGTCAGGTGACATGTATTGGTATACTATATGGTCATGTGGTATGTATTGGTATACTATATGGTCAGGTGGCATGTGTTGGTATACTATATGGTCAGGTGGTATGTATTGGTATACTATATGGTCATGTGGTATGTATTGGTATACTATATGGTCAGGTGGCATGTGTTGGTATACTTTATGGTCAGGTGACATGTATTGGTATACTATATGGTCATGTGGTATGTGTTGGTATGCTATGGTCAGGTGACATGTATTGGTATACTATATGGTCATGTGGTATGTATTGGTATACTACATGGTCAGGTGGCATGTGTTGGTATGCTATGGTCAGGTGACATGTATTGGTATACTATATGGTCATGTGGTATGTGTTGCTATACTATATGGTCAGGTGGCATGTGTTGGTATACTTTATGGTCAGGTGGTATGTTTTGGTATGCTATGGTCAGGTGACATGTATTGGTATACTATATGATCAGGTGGTATGTTTTGGTATGCTATGGTCAGGTGACATGTATTGGTATACTATATGGTCATGTGGTATGTGTTGCTATACTATATGGTCAGGTGGTATGTATTGGTATACTACATGGTCAGGTGGTATGTATTGGTATACTATATGGTCATGTGGTATGTATTGTGGTATGTGTATTGCTATACTATATGGTCAGGTGGCATGTGTTGGTATACTATATGGTCAGGTGACATGTATTGGTATACTACATGGTCAGGTGGTATGTATTGGTATACTACATGGTCAGGTGACATGTATTGGTATACTATATGGTCATGTGGTATGTGTTGCTATACTATATGGTCAGGTGACATGTATTGGTATACTACATGGTCAGGTGGTATGTATTGGTATACTACATGGTCAGGTGACATGTATTGGTATACTATATGGTCATGTGGTATGTGTTGCTATACTATATGGTCAGGTGGCATGTATTGGTATACTATTGGTCAAGGTGGTATGCATTGGTATGGTCAGGTGACATGTATTGGTATACGATATGGTCATGTGGTATGTGTTGGTATGCTATGGTCAGGTGACATGTATTGGTATACTATATGGTCATGTGGTATGTGTTGCTATACTATATGGTCAGGTGGCATGTGTTGGTATACTACATGGTCAGGTGGTATGTATTGGTATACTACATGGTCAGGTGGTATGTATTGGTATACTACATGGTCAGGTGACATGTATTGGTATACTACATGGTCAGGTGGTATGTATTGGTATACTATATGGTCAGGTGGTATGTGTTGCTATACTATATTGTAAGGTGGCATGTATTGGTATACTACATGGTCAGGTGACATGTATTGGTATACTACATGGTCAGGTGACATGTATTGGTATACTATATGGTCAGGTGGTATGTATTGGTATACTATATGGTCATGTGGTATGTGTTGCTATACTATATTGTAAGGTGGCATGTATTGGTATACTACATGGTCAGGTGGTATGTATTGGTATACTACATGGTCAGGTGACATGTATTGGTATACTATATGGTCATGTGGCATGTATTGGTATACTATATGGTCAGGTGGCATGTGTTGGTATACTATATTGTAAGGTGGCATGTATTGGTATACTATATGGTCATGTGGTATGTTTTGGTATGCTATGGTCAGGTGGCATGTATTGGTATACTATATGGTCATGTGGTATGTATTGGTATACTATATGGTCAGTTTGCATGTGTTGGTATACTATATGGTCAGGTGACATGTATTAATATACTATATGGTCAAGCATTACCTGAGGTATCAAGTTTTCACTTCATGCATGAACAAGGTGCTGTGCGGCAATACACGATGATCATACGTTTTAAAGTGCAGCTTCATATGAAATAACCATCCAAAGTGAGGAGATATCGGGAAACGTACACAAATCCGGTCATGTTTACGTGTACTTCAGTGGTACACTTTCCGACTTGTGGTTCTTTGCGTTGTGGGAGCGTCGCGTGATGAATACATACGTCCTTCATGATTAAAAGTAAACTAAAGTCTGTTCGAGCGTTTGATCCCAAACAATATGCGTCTTGTCTAAACCTAGTCTGAATTCGTTGCCATTCATTAGTAAGTGCGCCTGTAGTTTCACTTCATATCAACACTTCCCCTACCTTACTGCTGAACATATTTGATATCTGGGTTCTGACCAAAAGGACGGGCTCTCAAAATCTGTGACACCACTTCTAACACCTTATGTACAATGTGTAAACATGTCATCACACATGTAGAGTGGGACATGACAGCCGACACATATCAGGAGAGATCTCATGCATGAAGAGTGGGAAATGACAGCCGAGCGTTTGTAGTGACATGCAACACAACACCTCTCTAAGATTGTCAGCCTGATTGCCATTACGTGGCGGTGGCGTGTTATTGATCGGACACGGACACGGATACGTACTGATCCATGAAAGGTGAGGATCCGCCATCTTGTCCCTTGCGATGAAATTACAGTCAAGCATGTCGGTTTCTTGGCAATGTTGATTTATTTATCGTAGTGGATATCTTGGGAGGGTACTGTAAGTTCGTGTCATTTAAAAAAAGTTACATCTACCACAGTCTTGAACAATCGCCAGCGACTTAAGGGATGGCGTGAATCCCCCTGGGTACCACGCAGGTAGCAGAGGTAATTTACGCCCCATTCGCCCCCAGTTGTCTTAATTTGGTTGCTGGTGAGCTGTAGTCCGTATTATATATTCTGTTACTTGTACACGTTATACTTGTAAGGTTACAGACTAGTTTTAGAAGTGCATATGTAATAATCTAGTTGTTTTCCGACCTATGCTTTTTGTACATACATGTATTAATTATGCCTACGTTTTATTGTACCGATGTGCCTGATGTGACCTTAAATATTAATTCACTCACTCGTTTATAGGACCATAACCTGCGGTGTTTATGACCTATCTGAATTTCCATAAATGTAAAAATAGATCGCTCTACGTATGAGCACTATGACTCGCTGTGACTACATAGTGCATTCACTGCATCCTCGCATCTCGTCCAGCCTACTAGTGTCGTGAGTGGTCGGTCACTGTGAAGTACTGTAGGAACGGCGAGGTAAGACTGAGTCTCTGATTGTACATGTCGACTCCAGTTACCGACAGACAATGCGTGTTCTGTACTTGAAGTAAGTAGTATCAGGTGTAGGCAGTGATATGCTCTTCTGGCTACTGTTGTACCACTGAGGTAAACGATTTCATGGCATTGTATTCCCAGGCCTACCATACAAACGGTGAACAAATCATCAAAACTGGACTCATATACACCAAAACAGAACAAAAATCACCAAAACTGCAACCATATCCTCTAAACCCGAAACAATACATCTGTAATGGAAGACTAATCGTTTGAAATGGAAACGAAACTCGCGTATCAGCTACAAGAGCGCGCGAGAACGGTCGCCGAGCGTACAAAACGACATTCATAGCATCCCAACACGGCAGTCATATTTCCCGAAACGGCATACAAATCGTCAAAGATGGCGGCGAGGGGAGACGAATAGGCAATGGTACATAATTGTTTTTCGTCACTATGAGTCTAATCTTGAAAATTTGATATCGGGATGTAGTGCATAAACCCCCTATTGTAGTAAGCTTCAAACCTATGTCCATACTTCTCAGTGTCAGGCTTGCAATTCTACAATGTGGTCCTCGTTCGACAGAAAAGCATTTCTTGTCAACATGCCGTGCTACAGCTTCTCTTCAGTTTTGTAAATAAAGTATTCATAGCATCACATTCAACATTACTATATTTTAGTGATTTAAAAGTTGACAAAAACTTTGTTTATTCTCCGTGAATTGCATATCTAAGGATCCGTTTTCCGACCTATGCTTTTTGTACATATATGTATTAATTATGCCTACGTTTTATGGGACCGATGTCGCTTAAATATTAATTCACTCACTCGTTTATAGGACCATCACCCGGGGTGTTTATGACCTATCTGAATTTCCATAAATGTAAAATAGCTCGCTCTACGTATGAGCACTATGACTCGCTGTGACTACATAGTGCATTCACTGCATCCTCGCATCTCGTCCAGCCTACTAGTGTCGTGAGTGGTCGGTCACTGTGAAGTACTGTAGGAACGGCGAGGTAAGACTGAGTCTCTGATTGTACATGTCGACTCCAGTTACCGACAGACAATGCGTGTTCTGTACTTGAAGTAAGTAGTATCAGGTGTAGGCAGTGATATGCTCTTCTGGCTACTGTTGTACCACTGAGGTAAACGATTTCATGGCATTGTATTCCCAGGCCTACCATACAAACGGTGAACAAATCATCAAAACTGGACTCATATACACCAAAACAGAACAAAAATCACCAAAACTGCAACCATATCCTCTAAACCCGAAACAATACATCTGTAATGGAAGACTAATCGTTTGAAATGGAAACGAAACTCGCGTATCAGCTACAAGAGCGCGCGAGAACGGTCGCCGAGCGTACAAAACGACATTCATAGCATCCCAACACGGCAGTCATATTTCCCGAAACGGCATACAAATCGTCAAAGATGGCGGCGAGGGGAGACGAATAGGCTTTGGTACATAATTGTTTTTCGTCACTATGAGTCTAATCTTGAAAATTTGATATCAGGATGTAGTGCATAAACCCCCTATTGTAGTAAGCTTCAAACCTATGTCCATACTTCTCAGTGTCAGGCTTGCAATTCTGCACAATGTGGTCCCTCGTTCGACAGAATAGCATTTCTTGTCAACATGCCGTGCTACAGCTTCTCTTCAGTTTTGTAAATAAAGTATTCATAGCATCACATTCAACATTACTATATTTTAGTGATTTAAAAAGTTGACAAAAACTTTGTTTATTCTCCGTGAATTGCATATCTAAGTGATCCGTTTTCCGACCTATGCTTTTTGTACATATATGTATTAATTATGCCTACGTTTTATGGGACCGATGTCGCTTAAATATTAATTCACTCACTCGTTTATAGGACCATCACCCGGGGTGTTTATGACCTATCTGAATTTCCATAAATGTAAAAATAGCTCGCTCTACGTATGAGCACTATGACTCGCTGTGACTACATAGTGCATTCACTGCATCCTCGCATCTCGTCCAGCCTACTAGTGTCGTGAGTGGTCGGTCACTGTGAAGTACTGTAGGAACGGCGAGGTAAGACTGAGTCTCTGATTGTACATGTCGACTCCAGTTACCGACAGACAATGCGTGTTCTGTACTTGAAGCAAGTAGTATCAGGTGTAGGCAGTGATATGCTCTTCTGGCTACTGTTGTACCACTGAGGTAAACGATTTCATGGCATTGTATTCCGGGCACGAATACATGATGCGATGAGAGTTGTATCAACCTTGGTAACGTCATCGGAAAAGTGAATATGCCACTCCACATGCTAGTGAAACACATGTTCAGGTCGTACCTATCTAGCTGATGACGCTGAAACATCTGCTTGCATTTGTCCTCAACAGAATACTTCTCATAGGGATAGATTTACACACTCATGTATAGTGTGTACGTACTTGCACCGTTAAAACACATTCTCAAAAACATGGAGTTAGCCTCTTTAGATATTTCATGCATGCTGAAATCCCATGTTGTAATATATTGAAGTTCAGTTTTCTTTAGTTCTCTTCCTTGTTCTATTCTGTGTCAATCTTATTTCAAGCAGAACGTGACTATCACAGAGAGACAAAATGGAGGCGTCGTACAGCACCCAGACTGGAGAGACAAAGACCCTGGGGGTGGTGGACTTTGTTGTGTTTGCCAGCACACTTTCTGTCATGTTATTTATTGGACTATATTTTGCAATGAAAAGCAAGAAGGATCACGATCCAGCTGAATATCTGGTGGCAGGAAGAAGTATGGGGGTACTTCCGGTATCCTTGTCCTTGGCTGTGACGTTCCTTTCGGCCTTGACCTTGCTAGGACTTCCGGCAGAAATCTACAACTACAACACGATGTTCTGGTGGCTGGCTCTGGGGATGGTGCTGGCAGTGGCTGGAGCTGCCCACGTGTTCAACCCTGTGCTGTACAACATCGGGATCACAAGCGTGTACGAGGTAAACAACCAACGTTAACTGCGTCACAATGGTTATCTGTCAATTGGTCATCTGTCATCATGGAATCGTATGTCCATGTATTCACTCAGGTTTGATTTAAAGTTTGCAATTATTCCATTCTATGCCCATAGGCGGCAACACTTACTGAAAGTTATATTGGTATGTGTAACAATCTGTTTATGCGCCAAATCTTTAGAACGTGTGGTTATCATCTTAAGTTCCTTCTTATAGAGATTATAGATATTTTTACACATACAAGTTTATGAAAATGCAGAATGATGAAGGTAAATATAGAGAGAGTTATGTCAACTTATTTGCAACAAGGATATTGTAGTGAGAACTCGGAGTCAGTTTAAATGTCACTTTTCACGGCAGTACCAGTCAGGTGGTGATGGACATTTACAGTGCGTATCTGCTCATAACAAGATGCCCCCACCACAGTCATTACACATACTACACACGGATCATGACAATTGTATTGGCATCAAATTGGATGGCACATTGTCTTCCAAGGATAAAATGGAGTAATGTTTCTTCACCTGTAGTGCTTGATGTCACTGAAAGATCTAAGGGAAACGGATGAGAAGAACGGATCATAGCAGTCTCTTAAACAGTTGTGTGATGTTGACACGTCAGGTTTGATCAGAGTATGAAGCCCCGGAAGCTTGAGTTGACAGATTGATAGTGATTGCCTTACAACGGTTACCGTTTGAGCTGGTTGGAGACATTAAACTATGGATTTGAGAAACACATGAAGACAAGCGCCCCAACTGACACAACGTCACCCACAGACAGTGAAAATAAATGAACGCTGCGGTCGTTTCTAACAACAAACACGCATGAAAACGAAAAATATTGCAGGAAGAATTAATGTCGTTATAATGCAAAACAACATTGTACAAGCGTATCTCCAATGAACATTTCACATGTTTCCCCATCTGTTTGTTATACGCCGGCTATTCACATTCAGCCTCCAGCCCGGTCGTCCAAAAGGAATCAGATCAATTTTAGCGTATTATTCAGGTTGGGTTTTCGCATACAGCTTCATGACGATATAAAAACATAGTTTTCCGCGCAGAGCCAATTGCTAATGCATTTAACAAATACCACTGTCTATTCATAGGCTCATTGTCATTACATGTAACTTGATGATGGGCAACTGTACTATGTACAGTTTTCGATGTAAGATTCAGTTTCAGAAACCAGCTGATCACATACATTGTGTTAATTTTATCATGAAACCAGCTGACACAGACGACATACATTATGTTAATAGTTTATCATGAAACCAGCTGACACAGACGACATACACTGTATTAATCGTTTATCATGAAACCAGCTGACACAGACGACATACACTGTGTTAATAGTTTATCATGAAACCAGCTGACACAGACGACATACACTGTGTTAATAGTTTATCATGAAACCAGCTGACACAGACGACATACATTGTGTTGATAGTTTATCATGAAACCAGCTGACACAGACGACATACATTGTGTTAATCGTTTATCATGAAACCAGCTGACACAGACGACATACACTGTGTTAATAGTTTATCATTAAACCAGTTGACACAGACGACATACATTGTCTTAATAGTTTATCATGAAACCAGCTGACACAGACGACATACATTGTGTTAATCGTTTATCATGAAACCAGCTGACATAGACGACATCCACTGTGTTAATAGTTTATCATGAAACCAGCTGACACAGACGACATACATTGTGTTGATAGTTTATCATGAAACCAGCTGACACAGACGACATACATTGTGTTAATCGTTTATCATGAAACCAGCTGACACAGACGACATACATTGTGTTAATCGTTTATCATGAAACCAGCTGACACAGACGACATACATTGTGTTAATCGTTTATCATGAAACCAGCTGACACAGACGACATACATTGTGTTAATAGTTTATCATGAAACCAGCTGACACAGACGACATACATTGTGTTAATCGTTTATCATGAAACCAGCTGACATAGACGACATACACTGTGTTAATAGTTTATCATGAAACCAGTTGACACAGACGACATACATTGTCTTAATCGTTTATCATGAAACCAGCTGACACAGACGACATACATTGTGTTAATCATTTAGGAATAACCTACAATCAAACACGGACTTCTATACCGTGATTCTGAGATGATCATGTATTCATTTATCTTTCCTGTAGGTTCAGAAATATGTTTCGAGTCCAGGTTACGATTGGTCTTCGGCAACTCAATGATTGGACAAACTCTAGCAAAGTAAGATGGAATATGTTTCAGTGACAAAAGAAGCCCAACATTTATAATGTAAACCTACATGTATGAGTGCGATGTGCATGGTGGTATGTATGGAGCTTTTTATGTACAGGTCTTACATATATATTACTGAAATGCAAGCCGAAATTATGAATTAGAAAGCAAACTATCCAAATACATACTGTCTAGGAATATAACATTCTTGTCGTAACAGGTGTTCATCCAATAGTCCTCTGTGATAAAGGCACAAGAGGCTCAGACAGTTGTCCTCTATATAATCAGACTTTGGGAACTTGATTATACCCATAATGATAGTAAGATGAACGAATATAGTCAAGCAGTTTAATATCAGCCTTGTTGTGCATTGACCAGTAAAGATGCTTGACATCTTATAGTAATCGCCTATGTTTTGGCTTTGAGTAATTCTTCTTTACTCATTGAATTATACATTGTCTCGATGTAAATCGTGACTGACGATATGTTGCTGCTTCATTGTTACACAATTATAACTGTCATGGCGATGCAACTGCGGCTGCAAAACAATATAAATTCAGCGGGGACGATGGCTTTGATGGATGTGCTCATCTTTTGTCACACACGGCCGCTCCTTCTGATGTTTGAACCAACAACTCAACTCATTGCTGTCTTGTGTAGTTGTTTGTCATGCATTGTATAACCAACTAAAAAAGTCTGAACTTCCCACTTTTAGTGACCATCTTAGAAACAAATTAGAAAAGTTATTGACATGGAAGAAATAAAATTGGCTGTTAAAAATAACAAAAGTCCTGGAGTAGTTGGAAATTATGATAGATTTCTTTAAATATTTTTGGAGAGAGCTTAAATATTGGATCTATAGATTCATTAAAGATATTTCAAATAAGAATCAAATGTCTTTTACAATGAAAAGAGGTGTCATTACATGTATACCCAAACCAAATAAAAACAGAACCCTTTTAAAAACCTGGAGACCAATAACTTTATTGAATTCACTGTATAGGATAGTAAGTACTTGTATTTCTAATCGTTTAAAAACAACCCTGTACTCTCTTATACATGAAAATCAGACTGGTTTTATACCTGGTAGAAATATTAAGCGAAAACACAAGATTACTGTGTGACATAATGTTTGAAACAAAAAAAGAAGAGACATCCCAGGTTTATTAATTTCGATCGATTTTGAAAAGGCATTTGATACTGTCTCTAAAGATTTTATCAACTTGGTATTAAAAAAGTTTGGTTTTGGTCCCCAAAATTAGCTGGATAAATATCCTAACCTATAATACAACTTCTTGTGTTATTCAAAATGGACATCTCTCAGAATTCTTTTCAAATGAACGGGGCTGTAGACAATATCACCATATCGTTTCCTTTTTGTAGCTGAAATCCTTGGATGCATGATAAGACATGATAAGACATTTAAAATATCAAAGGTATAGTGATTGTTGATACGGAGTATAAATTTGGACAAAATGAAGATGATACTGAGTAGTACAGAAGAATGTCTTTATGCTGCTGTTAATACAATTAATACCTTCTATAACATGTCAGGACTAAAAATAAATATTGATAAGACTAAAGCAATCTGGATTGGTTCAAAAACAGGCTGTGGAGATAAACTATGTCAGGATTTGAATAATGAATGGCGAAAAAATGAATTTGATGTTCTGGGAATTATATTTAATGCCGAACTTAAAGATTTATTGATCATCAACAAGCAACTAAACCACGTCCTATCATTGTGAAACTCGCACTGTCAGATGATAAGGTCCGCGCTCTGAAATCGATACCAGTCCTCAAGGAGAATGGACTTGGAATTTCCAGCGACTTGACGACACGACAGAGAAAACAGTTAAAAGCCCCTAAGGGAACCGGTAAGATTCCAGTGAGTACACACGTAGTCAGATTCAAACACGTCAACGCAAGCGGCAACCGGCGACCGACTCTTCACGTAACAGAAGCAAGACGCCTTCTCGTTTGGCACGCCCATAGGGCAGCAGCCGAAGCCCGGTTATTATTTCACAAGGATCTATCGACAATGACACCGCAAGTACTGACTCCGAGAGTGATCTCGTAACTGACAACACCACTCTCTCCCTTTTGGTATTGTCTGCTAAAGACTAGAATACGAGGGAAAATGTATTCTGTTTTAAAGTCTATGTATTCTAATATAAAATCATGTGTGGGGTGTGGTGATGATTTTACAGATTATTTTGATTGTCCGGTCGGATTAAGACAAGGATGTATTTTAAGCCCAATGTTATTTTCATTTTTCATTAATGAATTGTATTACGATATTGCTAATAATGGAAAACATGGTATTCAGATGTTCCCGGATATGATTGAAATACTAATGTTACTTTTTGCTGATGATGTCATTTTAGTTTCAGACACTATTGTAGGATTACAAAATCAACTTAATATTTTGGGACGTTATACAAAAGAATGGAAGTTATCGGTTAATTACAACAAAACAAATATTGTCATTTTCAGAAGGGGTGGTTCGTTATCCGTAAATGAAAAGTGGGTACCAAATGGGATGCATCTTAAATTTCACATGCAACCAAAACATCAAACATAATTAAAACACAATTATCACTTATTCATGACATATAATACACATTGCTGATTATGAAAAAACCATAAAGACAAAATTATAAGCGTACAATCTCAAATCAAAAGTGCAATGTTTGTACTTGGGTTTACTTCCCAAGAAACGAGGCAGCCGGG